AGCATTGAAAGTCTGTCAGGATAGGTAATCAAGGAAGTGACCATGTCCTCAGAATGCAGCACCTGTGGTCACTGTACAATCAACACAATAAGCCTCAGCACTGACATATGGTTAAGCTCATTCAAGGAAAGCTATCTTCAGTAGAGAATTTACCCTGCAGAGAGCATGCATATTTTGATTTTACCTGTTTTCAGACTTACCCTTAACTCATTATAATAGTAAAAAGCAGAGCCCTGGTTGGAGATTTAAGATGCGAATGAGCCAAGCAACATGTATGAAAAGCATATACAAGCATGTACAACAAGCATTGTATAAACAACAGGCATTGTATGAACATACAGCTAACGCACATGTGCACTCACAGGACCATCCGGAACATACTTACTAGTAGCATCTGTCTCCACTTCTTTATGAATAATCATTAAGACTCCCATAAAGGGAGTCTCCCTGGTGCCAGTCTTTGCTGTCTCATCCTTAGGAGTAGCTGGCCCTGAATTCTCTCTCTCTCAGGTGTACTGTGTATTGTGCATTTAACTTTCCAAATATTCTTTCTCCTGTGCAATAAAGTACTCTATGCTGCATCTCCTTTGCTGCGTTATCTTGTTTAAATTCTTTTAAAATAAGAAGACAAGAACCAATGTCTCACAACAGCTGTCAACAAAAGGTCCTTGTGTTATTCAAGAAGAAGATAGACTTTGGGAGGCCAAGGCGGGTGGATCACGAGGTCGAGAGATCGAGACCATCCTGGTCCACATGGTGTAAACCCGTCTCTACTAAAAATACAAAAAACTAGCTGGGCACGGTGGCTCATGCCTGTAATCCGAGCTACTCAGGAGGCTGAGGCAGGAGAATTGCCTGAACCCAGGAGGCGGAGGTTGCGGTGAGCCGAGATAGCGCCATTGGACTCCAGCCTGGGTAACAAGAGCAAAACTCCGTCTGAAAAAAAAAAAAAAAAAAAAAAAAAAAAGAGAGAATATAGAAATATTGATTAACCTAAGACTTTTATACATTAAGAATGCATGTTAAAATTTCAAGATCAACTACTAAAAGAATAAAAATAGGGTACCTAGTTTCCAAACTAGCAGAGAGAGAAACATGGGAAGAGAGAAAAAAATCTATAATCAAAGCAAAGTGAGAAATGGAAAAAGGTTTGGAAAAACAAACAGGATAAAACTATAAAGTATCTTATCAGTAGGCTAAATCTTGCTGTCAGGAAGCAAAGATTGCAAGGCTAGATTTAAAAGATCAAGCCATATGGAGATCTTAAAACTTGAGTACAAAGTTTGAAAGTAAGAGCATAGAGAAAAGAAAACTGTTGAAACTGTACAGCTATTATATGAAATCAACTATAAGACCAAAAGTTTTACTATAGGTAAAAGAATGTCATTACATAATTCTGAAACATTCAACTTCACCAGAAAGCTATAAATATTTTAAATTTATGGAAGAAAAAAAAACCCCTCAAATATACCTAAAATTATAGAATGGCAAAGAGCAATACACAAATTCACCATTATAGTGGGAGAGTATTGTATGCCTCTCTTAATAATTGATAGACCAGAGAGACAAAAAAGATATTATTATGGGTTAAGAGATTTTTCCTCTCCTAACAAAATACGTGGGTCCTTCTTCAGCACCAACTGGGTGCCCAACAAAATTTGTTTGATTCTTGTACTACCTGCCCAGAGTTAGCATCCGACTCTACAGGTTTAAGGTTAAGTCTCACAAGCCTGCCTTCACTTAAGACAACAGTTGCAAATAGGTACCCAGGTCACCCACACTTGTCTGACTTTGCTATAAAGTTGGGCATTCCCCCAAGCCACCTCCTCTCCCAGGTTTAATAATTTGCTAGAATGATTCACAAAACTCAGGAAAATGCTAGGCTTACCTTTACCATTCACTATTAGGGATACAAATGAACAGACAGATGAAGACAGGGCAAGATTCAGAAGGGTCCCAAGCACAAAAAGCCCTGTCTCTGTGGAGGTTGGGCACACTACTTAGTTGGCACATAGATACCTGAGCTAACTCAAAAGCTGCTGAGACCCAGTAATTTTTGTAGTTTTTATGGAGGTTTCATTATACAGGCATGATTGTGTCTATTGGTGATTAACTCGATCTCCAGCCCCTTTCCGCTTCCCAGAGGTTGAAGGGTGGGTCAGAACCTCCAAGCTTCTAATCCAGGCTTGGTCTTTCTGGTGACCAGCCACTATCCTAAGCTATCTAGGGGCTTGCCAAGAGTCACCTCAGAACAAAATATGCTCCGATCAGCCTTATCACTGAGAAAATTCCAACTGTTTTAGGATCTCTCTGCCATGAACCTGGTACAAAAAGCAAATATTTTCAATATACCATAAAGATATAGATGATTTATGCTCCAATTTGAATGCTGATAGCAATTAAAACATGTCAGGGAATAATTAACAAAATGTGAAGGGTATTCACAGAGAAAGTCATAAAACTGTATTAAAAATACTAAAAGAAAACCGATGTAAATGAAGAGGTATACCAGGTTTGGGTTAGATTTATTTAATATGGAGATTCAGTTTTCCCCCAAATACTACATAGAATTATTGCTATTCTAATAAAAATCTCAAAGAAGTTTTTAATGGGAAAAAAGGCTGATTTAAAAAATGTATGTGCTGATCATATATAGGAACAGTGGCTCATGTCTGCAATCCCAGCATTTTGGGAGCTGAGGCGGATCACTGGAGGTCAGGAGTTCCAGACCAGCCTGGCCAACGTGGCAAAATCCCGTCTCTACTAAAAATACAAAAATTAGATGGTCGTGGTAATGTGCACCTGTAGTCACAGCTACTTGGGAGGCTGAGGCATGAGAATCACTTGAATCAGGGAGGTAGAGGTTGTAGCGAGCCAGTATCACACCACTGCACTCTGGCCATGGTGAGGGAGCGAAACTTGGTCTCAATAATAATAAGTATACACAAAGACAAAGGGCCAAAAATAGTCAAGGTGCCTTTGTTTTGTGCTGCTATAAAAGAATCTGTGAGACTGGGAAATTTGTAGAGAAAATACATTGATCTGGCCTCTGGTTTTGTAGGCTGGGAAGTCCAAGATTGGGAGGGCTGCATCTGGTTAGGGCCTTCTTGCTGCATCCTCAGAGGAACGAGGGGATCAGTGGAAGGGATCAGTGGAGGCCGAGTACAGCAAAGTCTGGAAATAGTTATGTATGTATGATTTGTAGGGCATGTGCTGGCTGGACAGTCAGGTAAATGGCAGTCCATGGCAGTTAAGGACCTTGGACTTTATTCAGAGAAAATGGAAGATTTTTAGGCAGAAGCCATGGCCACTGTTATGGTCAGTTTTTGTTTAGAAAGATCACTGTAGCCGGGCGCGGTGGCTCAAGCCTGTAATCCCAGCACTTTGGGAGGCTGAGGCGGATGGATCACGAGGTCAAGAGATCGAGACCATCCTGGTCAATATGGTGAAACCCCGTCTCTACTAAAAATACAAACAATTAGCTGGGCGTGGTGGCGCTTGCCTGTAATCCGAGCTACTCAGGAGGCTGAGGCAGGAGAATTGCCTGAACCCAGGAGGCGGAGGTTGCGGTGAGCCGAGATCGCGCCATTGCACTCCAGCCTGGGTAACAAGAGCGAAACTCCGTCTCAAAAAAAAAAAAAAAAAAAAAAAGAAAGATCACTGTACCAGCAGGTGGTTCAGGAAAGACAGGAAAAACTGAGACTGGAAGCAGAGAGATGAGTGAGTAATTTGTTCCAGTGGTTCAGGCTGGGGGATGATGTGCGTGGGAGCTTGCAGCAGGCGGTGGGTTGTCGGGCGGTGGGTGGCAGTGATTATTTACGAAATAAATGGATAGGACCTGGTGCCTGGGGAAGAGGAAGGAATCGGGTGTGAGGCCTGTGTTCAGGCAGATGTCTGGATCGAGAAAGTTTTCTGGAAGAAGCAGTTTTGTACCAGTCAAGGGAGGCAGAGAAAGGCCCTTTTGGAGATGGAATGCACTCCCTCCAGTCTCCTGGGACTAAAACACAAACCAAACTGTGGTGGTTTTAAAACGTCTAAAAAGTCTTCCTCCCTTCAAAAGGTGAAGCAACTTCATGAGCCACAACCACTAGCCACAGAAAAGTATGAGGTAATATGTGTTTTCAATCCGCTGAATTTTGGGGGTAATCTGTCAAACTACTGTAAATAACTATCAGTGATGACCAAGCCCTCGCCCTCTGAGACCCTGCAGGCCAGGCAGCTGACACTTTCCCTCCCGCCGTCTCAGGAGACACCACTTTCCACTCCCGTGTCCCCGACAGGAATCATCGGACATCGCCGACTCTGACCTTCTCAAGCAACACAACCCACCCTCCTGGCGCCTCGCTCGGCCTCACCTCAGCCTCCAGGCAGCTCCTCCCGGTTGCGAGGCCTTCATTGGCGGGGGTCGAGTGCTGCGTGCGACCCCGGCCCTCCAGCAGGACACGGAGGGAGGGCAGCGCGGGGGGAAGGCAGGCGGGACGGGGCTCGCTCCCTCTTCCCCGCGCCGCCATATCCCGTCCAAAGCTCTTCCCGCGTCTGTTTCTGAAACCCCTCCACTTCACCTCCGCCTCAGGCCGCACCCCGCCCCCGCGTCCCGCGACGCCGGCCCCTCACCCCACCGCGCCCCGACCCTCTCCGAGCGAGCGCCGCGGGCTGCCCCGGGTCCCAGGCCGCGGCCTCTTCCCCGGCTCCCGGGCTCCTTGGCCGACCCCCCTCCTGCGCCACAGCTGTTCTGTGCTGTTCACTTGCTTTCCCTCCCCACCAAAAGGTGAGCCTTGAGAGGGTACACCCTCGTGCAGAGCGGCGAACCTTTATCCGGAAAGGTGCCGGGCGCGTCATCAATGCCCGCGAGCGCTCGCTGACCAGGGTCCTCCCGAGACCCCCGCAGCCTCTTCCCGGAGCCTGAGGCCCCGCCCCGCCCGGCCCCGCCCCGCCCGCGCCGCGCCCCGCCCCGCCCGCGCCCTGCGGAACCCGGAGTCGCAGGTGCGCTTCCGGAGGACGGAATTCGGCGTCGGACTCTGCGCTCGTAGTTCCGGTGGCGACTGAGGCGCATGGCGGTGAGCGGTGTGGAGAAGACGCGCGGGTGGCGGGGCCTTGCAGCGTCTGCGGCCCTCTGTGACCCTCGTGCTGTCCCCCTTTCTCCAGGCCCTAGGACATCCTGCCGGGGAGGCAGCGGCGGTCCCAGGCCCGGGGACTCTCCGCGCGTCCCGCAGACACCAGCTCCCCGACCCGGTTTCCAGCGCCCGGAATCCTTCCGCTGTCTCTCCCTGCCCAGGGCAACCCACGTGCAGTAACACCGCCTCCAGAGTGCACCCGTTAGGCGATGAAGGCAGCGCAGCGTCAGAGAAAAAGAAGAATAGGAAGAAAGCCCGGAACAGGCCCTCTGTGGCAAACGGAGGCGAGAAGGCCTCAGAAAAACCCGCCCCAGAGGAAGTCCCGCTAAGCGCTGAGGCCCAGGCAAGGGCGGGTATCAGTCGGGAAGGGTGGAATCCCGGGTGCGAATCCACGGGCTCGGGCTCGTGTGGTGTGGGTCCACGGAGTTAAGGCGGGGAGGGGATGGGATGGGGCCAAGGGCTGTGGTGTCCCAGTGCCCTCTCACAGCCACTTTCCCCAATCCGTCACAGGCGCAGCAGCTGGCCCAGGAATTGGCTTGGTGTGTGGAGCAGCTGGAGCTGGGCCTCAAGAGGCAGAAACCCACTCCGAAACAGAGTAAGGGACCTTCTGTAGAGTTAGGGGATGTGAATATTGGCACTGCCTGTTCTGCAGGTGCTGGCAGGGGATGGAGTTGTTGCCTTTGCGGTGGGGTAGTAGGAGGTCGGTATAGAGATGGTAAGTAGTCCTTTATTTTTATTCACAGAAGAGCAGGCTGTTGGAGCAATCAGAACCCTCCGCAGCAAAAGAACTCCACTGCCTCGAAAGAGGCAGCTGATGCACTCCTTGTTTGGAGACTACAGGGCTCAGATGGAAGCTGAATGGCGTGAGTCCCTGCGGGCTCTCAGAGCTGGTGAGGAGCTAGCAACTGGTTGATTCAGGGAGGCCTAATTTAAGGAGGAAGGCCCAGAGCAACAAGGCTGGTGGTGGAAGGAGATGGGCTCAGTGAAGGCTGAGGGAGCAGGGAGAGATAAAGCATGGACCTCTCTTTCCCCTCTTCACAGGACTGAACCCGGGAAGTAGTGGGGAGGCCCTGGGAGGAGGTGGAAAGAGCTTGGTTCTATGTTGGTCCTGCTCCTGAATGGGGAAAGCTGCCTCATGTCTTTGTGTCTTGGCTTTCTCTACTGGCCAGGAAGTCACATCCCATAACAATTTGAGTGCCGTTCTTGGAGCCATATGAACTAGGTTCAAATCCTGGATTTGTCACATAGTAGCACTAACACCTTTTGCAAAACTACTCAATCTCTCTAAATAGGGGGTGATGGTAATATCAACCTTACAAATTTGAGGAATTAATCAGTTAATTTATGCAAAGTGGTTGGAGTTGTATGGGCAAACATACTGTATAGATAATGTTAGCTGTTATTATTTAGTCCTGACATACTCTGCTTCTCTCCCCATGACAGCTGCTTATTCAGCCCAGGTGCAGCCTGTAGATGAAGCCACTAGAAACAAGAGCCAAAGGGTCTGCAGGCCTCGCCCTTTAGGGAGAACCAAAGCCACTCTGGAAACTGCTCTGCCTGATGAAGAGTTCAGGTTCAATTTCTTTTAGCTTCTCCTCCAACTTGTAACATTCCCCCTCCCTTGGGGTGGCGTAGGGGTTTGTCTTGAGTGCAGAGTCTTTCCAGGACTTCTGTTGGCAGAGAACCCTAGGGTTGGTCCTTCCCTGCCTTGTCCAAGGATTTGGAGCTGTTGTGCAGGTGTGAGACCATCAGGCAGGCACAAGACCCCATTTGTTTTCCGATGAAATGTTCCCTCTTCCAGAAGAGAGAGAGAGGTGCAGTTAGAAAATATATAATAAATTGTAGTGAGTGTTCAATGTATTGTAGAAAGAATATTGTACTCAGTCTTTAGGATTAGATTAAGTGGCTGTTGGTAACAAAGATTAGTTGGGAATCTATTTAATCGTACAGTGTTTTTCACTTTTGAAGGGAATCCCTGTTAAATGGTTAGTGCTTTATGCTGTTATGTCACATTGTCCTAATCTCTATTTTTGGTAAAATTGGGTAAGGAGTGAAAGACCACCTGTGTTAGAGGAAGTACAGAAGATGCAGGGGTCTGGTATCTCTGGGTCCAGGCTCCCACCTGGGTCCTTTGTACATGTTGCCTTCATTCCTGACCAGGTGTCATCCTCAGGGAACCAGCATGGCCCCCACTAGGCCAGGCTCTGTTCTTAAGAGCAAGGAACTTCTTGCCCTAACAATTCTGGCCTGAGACCTCGATTGAGCCTCAGCTGACTTCTTGTCTAAATGTTGGTCATGTTAGTCTCAGGTCCTTTGTTCCACGGAACTGGGAATCTCCAGGTGACCTAATCCTTATTGGTGGCTCAGTATTTGCTGGTGTCTCCCAAACTCAGTTCCCAAACCTGGACTCCAACTGCCTACAAAGCATTTCCACTGGGGTACTTCTTTCTTTCTTTCTTTTTTTTTAAATTGCATTTTAAGTTTTGGGGTACATGTGAAGAACATGTAAGATTGTTGCATAGGTACACATATGGCAGTGTGATTTGCTGCCTTCCTCCCCTTCACCTATATCTGGCATTTCTCCCCATGCTGTCTCTCCCCAACTCCCCACCCACTACTGTCCCTCCCCCATTTCCCCCCAGCAGACCTCCACTGGGGTATTTCATAGGCATTTCAGACTTGATGTGTTTAAAACACTTGGTTAGGCTTCAGTTTCCCTTTGACTTCTGCTTTTCGTTGAATGACACAACTGCCCATCTAGTTGATATGGCAGGAAGCCTGTGTAATCCTTGATTGCTATCCTTCAAGCACTATATACTTTAGCTGGCATATCAGCTCTGTCTTCAAAATAAATCTCAAATATTTCATGTTTTCTTTATCTTCACTACTGCTCATTCTACTTACGACTTTTCTTACCTTGCCTGCTGTGTTAGCCAGACTGACTCTTCGTGTATGGTGGATCACATTCGCCTGATCCATGACTTCCCTGTTCCTAGAATACAATATGAAGGCTGATGTACAAGGCCCTACCTAGGCCTGCATGTGTTTACTCCCCTGATGGCCTCTCTGAAAGGGTCCCCCTCTGCTCCTCAGGCAACTGAATTTAATCCTGCCTCAAGGTCTTCAACCTTGCTCTTACTTTTGCCTGGATTACTCTTCCTCCAGATCTTAGCATAACTGGCTTCCAGGAAAGTAAACATCAGCTTTGTGTGAGAAAGTGGCTCTATGCCCTATGATTTATCAGGCTGAGGTAACAGATTCAGGAAACAGATTTCCTCCATGGTCACTGTGCAGATGTAAAGTGTCATAATGACCCTTTTGAGTGTTTTTCTACTGAGAATCATTGCTTATTAATATCATGGACAGCCACTTTGCTGTGCATAGGAAGGAAATGTCTGATCTCAAAAAGATTCCTTGATTTATAACCCAGATGCAGAGCTTCAAGTAAGGGGTTTTGGAACTCCGCATTGCAAGGAAACAGAAGCTGGGTTCACTTCACAGTTTAGACCTGGTCTTTATCCAGCTACCCAGCCCTGTCTTGTTAAGTGCTATCAAAACACTGTTTCATTTACATTTCACCTAAATACCCTTTTACTAAATCTTTTAATACTCCTGTGTCTCATGAGATGCCCCATGGATCTGATGTTCAGTCTTCCATATTGTATCGAGCCAATAAATTAACTGTCCCTTAGGGACTTTGGATGATCGGACTAGGATAGCCCTTATCTTTTGGATCTTTTCATCACCTCACTGTCCTTCCCACATCCCCCATTGGTGGTCGACCATTTGCCCTCAGATCTTTTCCATAAGTTTGGAGTGCCTGAGTAAAAGAGATGCCAGGGCAGATCTTTCCTTTTTTCCTTTGTGGTTCTCCAGGGGTTCCCTACTGGGCCCTTTTAAAACCACCTAATGCTGGTCTATCCAGCCTAAGAGTCCCAGTTTGACTTGAGGATCAGTTTGGGGTTGGGGTGAGGGTGATGGAGAGGAATCGAGTGTAATGGGGGTTTAGGGTGAGTCTTAGGGGATAGAGTAAGGGTTAGAGGATTGGGTTAGAGTTAGTTTTGGGTTAGTGTTGTGGTTAGTGTTAGAGATTAGGTGTTAGGGATGATGGTCTAAGGCAGGCGTCCCCAAACTTTTTACACGGGGCCAGTTCACTGTCCCTCGGACTGTTGGAGGGCCGCCAGATACTGTGCTTCTCTCACTGACCACCAATGAAAGAGGTGCCCCTTCCTGAAGTGTGGCGGGGGGCCGGATAAATGGCCTCAGGGGCCGCAGTTTGGGGACGCCTAGTCTAAGGGTTAGAAATTAGGCGAAGGAGGCCGGGTGCAGTGGCTCACGCCTGCAATCCCAGCACTTTGGGAGGCCAAGGCGGGTGGATCATGAGGTCAAGAGATCGAGACCATCCTGGTCAACATGGTGAAACCCCGTCTCTACTAAAAATACAAAAAAGTAGCTGGGCATGATGACACATGCCTGTAATCCCAGCTACTCAGGAGGCTGAGGCAGGAGAATTGCCTGAACCTAGAAGGCGGAGGTTGCGGTGAGCCGAGATCGTGCCATTGCACTCCAGCCTGGGTAACGAGGGAAACTCCGTCTCAAAAAAAAAAAAAAAAGAAATTAGGCGAAGGTTAGGGTTTGGGGTTATAGATACAGACTCAGCTTGCAGAGCTGTTTGTCACTAACATCATTGTTTGCCTTCTACTATAATCCCTCCATCACCTCTAATCCCAAATCTTTCCTTATCCTGGCAGAGCTGAGGTAAGGGCTTCTCTGTACTCACCATGGTTATCATCAGGTCTCATTTCTCTTGGAAGCTTGTTCATACTTCCCCATATTATTTTGTAACGTGTGCAGAGATATCTCACTTTCTAATATGTTACTTAAATCCCATGAACTCAAGTTAACAAGTGGATTTTTTGCCAACCTTGGGTTTTCTTTAACTCTTCTTTAAGCATTCTTAGAGCAGAGCCGCTTCCTCACAGAGGATTTTTAATTACTCTTCCTGGTTGCTTTATGAGATAATAATTTTGCAGCTTGCAAGCTTTCCTTCAAAAGCTGAAAATGTTTTATCTATTTTGTTCACTACATTTGATACAATTACCAACTGTATGTCCATGTGTTTTTCATGGGTTTGGCATCATTTGCTCCTCCTGAACAAGAGAACTCACTCAGGGAACATGTGCCCCCAAGTCATATACTGTCTGGACATCTTAGTAGTTCCAGGACAGAGGTCTTCAGGCCCTGGGCTCACTGGTCTCTTGTAGGGCTGCAGCCCTACAGGGTCATGGGGTGTCCCCTATCGTTGTGCTGAGGTGCAGGATCCAAGAAGTAATGAGACAGGACACAGAAGGACTGGAAAAGACAGCTGGGCGGTGGGGGTGGGGGTGGGGCGCCATGCCACGCCACCTATGAGCTGAGACATGAGACCCGAATGTCCAGGAGTGTCTGTATTGGGTACCAGACGGGGAACAGTAGTAAGGTCATGTTAAGGACGGTGATAGGGTCAAGGCAATCACATGAGCAATAAACAAGAGGTCCACCTCCATTAGGTTACCTAGGCTAGCTAGGAGGTGGGCAGTGCACAGCAAGGGGTGTGCAGCGTGCAGTATCTCTAGGGGTAGGCTGCTTCTAAGGGATTCTGTAGGAGGATGTTTTGAGCAGCAGCAGCTGACAAGGTCCACAGCCACCTGCTGGCAGCTTCCAGTGATTTCTATAGGAGGATGATTTGAATCAGCACAGTAGCTAGAGAGCTGACAAGTTATATAGTCACCAAGGCATGATTGTACTGGAGGGGTTTTAAGCCCTCGGAGGCTCATGGGATTGCCTGTCTGAGGGCAGCCTTCCACAATAACTGGATGCAAGGTACTACAACTCCTTTTTCAGGTGAGGCTCTTGTCCCAAGCCTGCTGTACAGTGGCTATCTTTACAATACTGAATGCTGCTGCCTGGGCCAGATTCTTGTCCTGGTGTAACTGTTTTTCCCTTAAATGATGTACTGCACTATGTCTGTTCTAGACATTCTTCTGACTATAAACAAGATATGTTTATGTATAGCTGCATATTCCTTAATTCATGCTCTGTACTTCTCTAGGCATTCCTCCGACCATGAACTAATATATATATGTATATATATAGGGAAATAACTAGTAAGATATTCTTCAGGCACTAATTCTATAATATGTGATTATATATAAAGGATTATATAAAGGAAATAACTGAGTGATATTCTTCAGGCACTAATTGTGCCGGGTATCTGTTTAGCTCTCCTTCCTTGTTGCCCAGATGAGGGGTTAACCAAAGTCCCTGACAAGTTGAGGTGTCCCATGAACTGAACTAAATGCTGATGGCACTTCACATTGAGCTATGACACCTGATGTTCCTTAGCTTGCCTGGTCCAGAGTCTGCAGCCTCTACCTGATGTCGCTGACTCTGCTTTTATGACACCAATTTTCATCCTGGAGCCTGGCTTGGGGGTTGGGGGTCCCTATAGATTATGCCACAAAGTAGCCTAGATCCTCTTGATAAGAGCTGTTGAGCAGGTCTTTGGTAATAGATGTGATTGGCCTATGGAGTCTAGGATTGTATAGGATGACATTGCCCACCTGTTTTGTGTCTCCGTAACCACTGGAATTGAGTTTGGGTGGAGAGGTGGAACACAGGTAGGTAGAGCCAGGGCTGGTGAAGGCTAAGTTTAGAATTATAGTTATTTTGGGGGTTTGATTTGATACAGAGGTTAGAGTCACCATGTTCACCTGGAAAGTGGCTGGGCAGCAGTGGCTGATTGTTCAAAAACTGTCTCTAAGAAATCTTATTGGGGGCTGGTCACAGTAGTTGACGCTTGTAATCCCAGCACTTTGGGAGGCCG